ATGTGAATGCATGTGACAGAGAGAGAGAGAGAGAGAGAGAGAGAGAGAGAGAAAGACAGAGTGAGAGGACATGCATATATAAGTGTGTATGTGTTGAGCCTAAAACACTCAGAGGAGGATGCTGAGTACTAAGTCTGTCTCCTCTCTCCACCTTATTCTGTAATGCAGGATCTCTCACTGAACCTGGAACTAGGATGGTAGGTGCTAGTGATCCCTACCATCCTCTCCTGCTGGGGCTGGAGACCACACACAGCTTTATATGTGGGTGGTGGCCTCCAAACTCAGGTCCTCTTACTAAGTTATTTCTTCAGTGCCCCACAAAGCAATGTTTATAGAGATATGTAGACTTCTAAATTGTATATATTGGATAAAAGAAAATTAATAGGATTATCTTGTGACTAAATGAGACTATATTCATCAATAATTTATAAAAAGTTCTGTTTACATTAAACCATGTAAAATTAATTCAACATGAACTGTAAAGAGTACATTGATAGAACATCAAGAAGAGAATGAGGTAAATATAATTTATACGTATTTGTAGTAAGAGCTGCGGGCCTCTTCCCACAGCCTGGCTCCCGGCCGCCTGGCTAGTTTATGCTCCAAAATAACAACACACAAATTGTATTCTTTTAAAAACGGCCTGGCCCATTTCTATTAATGTGTGTAGCACTGAGGTGTGCTTACTGGGAAGATTCTAGCCTACGTCCATCCTGGGTTGGAGCTTCATCGCGTCTGCCCCAGAGAGGAGAGCTATTGAGTCTGAGCTCACTTCTTCTTCCTCCCAGCATTCTTTTTTGTTTACTCTGCCTACCTAATTTTCTGTCCTATCAAGACCAAGGCAGTTTCTTTATCTAACCAATGACCTTCCTCCGTCACATATTTTTGTTTTTTAAGATTTATTTATTATGTACACAGTGTTCAGCCTCCATGTATGCCTGCAAGCCAGAAGAGGGCACCAGATCTCAGTACAGAAGGTTGTGAGCCACCATGTGGTTGCTGGGAATTGAACTCAGGAACTCCAGAAGAGCAGCCAGTGCTCTTAACCTCTGAGCCATCTCTCCAGCCCCCCTCCATCACATATTTTAACTCAAGAGTATCTAAATAGATCTAGCAAATAAATTAGAGACAACTAGTTAAAAGTCATCTGAAGACAAAAACACACACTTTCTAAATTTAATTCTTAATGAACAAAAAGTATAAGAAATGCTTTTTATCCTTGTTCCTTATCAGAGAAATGCTGAGTCAAACCATGGGAAGATGACAATCCCATGGACGAGACAACCTCCACAAATGAAGGAGGATGTACGCATTTTCTAAGCTTAGTTCTATGAACCTGAGACTGCACTTCCAAGTACAGAAGGAGAAAAGTATAAACAAACACACTCATGAGAATGTGGACAGAAATGTTGCAGCAGCCCTGGTCATGATAACTGAAAGGCAGCCACCGCAAATGGTGGAATATGAGACAAGCGCCTCATGGGAGATTCACAGAGGAGAACAATAGGCAGCATATTCCTGAATGGAACCTTTAACCAAAGTTATTTTAATACAAATTTTATCAATATCTGCATGCCCCAGTATTTGCATTACTCATATAAAACCTAAGAAGTTGTTTTTCTTTAACGAGTGATATAAAATTTGCATGTATTTGGATGATATATTTTTCCAGTCTGCTTATTGCTATCCTTAATTGGTGAATTTATAACATTTATGTTTTAAATAATTATTTATATCTGAGAATTTAAGTATGTCAGTTTGCTATCTGATTTCTATTTATTTTTATCCTTATCTGTATATTCTTCTGTTTCACAGATTATTAATATAACCGTTTTACTAATCCATATCACAAAAGACTGGAGATCAAAAGGGATATTGGGAAGGTATCTAGGAATTTAGAGAAAACAGAAACACAATTATTTTATTTCATTAATGAGGATATAACATAACTTTTCATAATGTCTTATAAACTTGGATCTTTACTCTATTGATGGTATTTTTTTTTTAAGATTGTAGTTTTATTGCTAGATTTCAACATCTAACTCAGGGAGGAAAATATCCACAGCACTTATTTATTTCTTTATTTATTTTTAAATTTATTTATTTATTAAGGATTTCTGCCTCCTCCCCGCCACCGCCTCCCATTTCCCTCCCCCTCCCCCGATCAAGTCCCTCTCCCTCATCAGCTCGAAGAGCAATCAGGGTTTTCTGACCTGTGGGAGGTCCAAGGACCACCCACCTCTTGATGGTATTTTTTTAAATGAATATGTACTTTATGTAGCTAAAATATCATTTAGGAAAAAAATGTTTCTCACAAATAAGGACTCCACATGACACTCCTTATGTTTTTATTTTATGTGCAATATATTGAAAGTCAAATAGAAATGAATTAATCTTTTTAAATAAAAATTAGTATGAATTCTCTGGAATATTACCCAAAGAAAAGTTCCCCATAATTGCATATTTAACCTCAATAGAAAATATTTGAAATAGACCATAATAAAATAGGGTACTCAGAAACAAAGTACTATGTTTCTGTTTGAATGTTCAGAGTCCAAGAAGAAGCTGAGAACAGAGACAACAGCTGGAAATGGTGATAGAAGTTCATCCTCAGCTATATAGCAAGTTCAAGGCCACCCTGGGCTCTGTGGGATCCTGTCTAAACTAGTCCAGCATCAAACAAAAGACAAAGACAGCAAAGAAGAGCAGGAAAAATGAGGCTTACATTATGAAAGTATTGTACTACAGAGTAATTAAGGAAGTTATTGGTTATGGCATCAGCATAAGATTGTAGGGTTTTAGTATTTTGAATATTTTATCGGTGGGTGTAGGTTTACTTGCATACCCGCATTTGCATTCGTGTTACCTAGTAATGCTTTCTTTCCCTACCTGACCTTGGGAGGGACTAGGTGGTGTTCTACCATGACTAATGAAAATTCAGAGGAGCTCTGAAATCATTGGCACCATTCTGTAAATTTCTCAACAGAATTCATAGGACTACAATGTTCGATAGCAGAAAGAGAAGAGAGCAGCATCGCCACTGACACTTCAGCCACGGTCCAGGCTCCATGATTGTAACCCCCGCCACTCTAGAGTTTCTGGAATGGCACACTGTGTGTTGAAGGAGCACTGCTATAGAGGCACAGTTGAGGAGGGGGAGTTGGCACCAACAGACCACAGCTCTCTCTGCTGGACCTTCTTAGGACTAGTAAGACCGAATGGAAGATGGCTGAGCAGAAAGTGTCAGTCAGTAACAGGCCTGGCATGCAAGCGTGAGAAACTTCTGCATGTGTGGCACTAACAGCGACAGTTTATATCTTTTTGGGTCAGTTGGATTTGGCCATTATAATCAGGTTTAGCCCAATATTCAGACTGATTTTTTAAAAAATCATTCTCGATGAGTTTATGATTTTCCACAGATTGACATCTCTTGGGGGCTTGTCAAGCAGGAAAAAAAAAATGAGAGGTTAAGTGGGGAAAACTGATGATGTGTATATCAATATCCAGTCACGGCATCCTTATCAACAGTCCTCTGGGTGATGCACACTGCATGCTGAATCTCCACTTTCCCTATAAAACATAACTATTTAAAGATAAAAATGATTGTATTTTAGAGAAAATTTGTACACACAGCTGCATATTCAAAATATGATAGATAGACTTCTGTGAAAAAAGCAAAACAGTCTAATGTTGATTTGAAACTGATAAACTATCTCATGTTTTAAGAAACTTATTTCTCTGGACAATACATATGTTTTCTAAGTATTTGACATAAAATGGCATATTCATAAGCCATACTTTTAGCTTCCTTGATAAGCCAGAATGCTCTCAGTAGTATTGATCTTGTCAATACGATGAAGCAAATGGCCATTCTCTGGTTGAGATATTTTAAAAGGTGAGAAACATTTCATAATATAGGGCTCTAGCTTGTGCATTCCAAATACAGGTGCTGTGAAAGGCACGATGCACACAAGCACATGTAATGAAATGGAAGCTCAGTGTTGTGAAGTACAGTCATTGTAGAAAATATTCATTTTTAATTAAGAAATATTTGAGATTATGGCTATATTTCTTTCCTCCCTTTCCTCCCTTCAAAGTCGTCTCTCACACAACCCTCCTTACTCTCCTGCAATTTTATGGCCTCTTTTTCATTAATTGTTATTGCACATATATATATACACACATGTATAATTCTAGATATAATCTGCTCATCCATTATAATGTTGCTTGTATGTATGTTTTCAGAGCTGACTGTTCTGCACTTTCCTCGGGAGGACTACTTTTCCCTCTTCCAGCTTTCTTTCCTCATTGCCGTGTAGTATTTTTATAAGAGAACCCATGGGCCTTTTCTTGCCTACTTTAACATATCCATCAGTGTCATCCTTGCTCAATAACTACACCCATAAAGTATCACTAATATGATTGCTTCAAATGTGAAGGAGATTCTTGTTTTTTTTTTTTTTTTAAACAAAACCATGGCATCAAGGAACAGTGGTGGATATCGAAAGACATGTAAATACAAACTGTTAGGGTTTGTTAAAAAGAATTGATATTTTTGACCCAATAATTTTTAGAATCCTAATGATCACAAAATGACAGTTCATTTTTCTCTTTTCTTTCTCATTTCCAGAGGTAAACAAATACAAAATATATGTGGAAGACTGCTGTAGAGAATTATTAAGGTAAGAGCAAGGCAATGCTTGAAATAAATATGGTTTATTTAACAATGTAAATCTATTTTACATATAAGTTGGGAATCAAGTTTGATGTAGTTTACATATGATTAAATACATTTTCAGAAGAAAGTTTTTGCAGACCGTCCTACTATCTTATTGATAAAGATGAAACAATACAAATTCAATTTCATTTATTTTCCACAGATAATTGAAAATATAATAATCCTTTTGAACCCATTAAAATCTTTCTGGTTTTAAGACTTGGAGATATTTCAAATTAGAGAGCTGGTTATAATTCATAGGCTGAGCAGCTATAGAATCTTCTCAGTAGAAACCATAGGACCAGTACCTTCTGTAGCACAGTGGGCGACAGCAGCCATAACCATAGCCACCATAGCCACCATAACCACCATAGCCATAGCCTAGGCCACCATAGCCATAACCCAGGCCTCCATAGTATCCACCACAGTAATACATGTTGTTAGAGTGGATCGTTCAGTTCAGGTAGGTTGAGTCTTGGTGTCACCATCTGCCCAGAGCCTTTTATACACCTGAGTTGTTGTTGGGGAAACCACAGGCACCTCTCCACTGTTACACACCTCTCCACTGTGCTTCAGAGGCATCACGAGTTCCATGATTTATTGGATACTCAAGGCTTCATACCTGAGATGAATGTGGATCCATTAGTATCCAACGGTTAAAATGTGGAATCCTTTCATTTTTCAAGACTCTAGATTGTTCTTTATTTAGAGCAGAGAATGTATCACATGATTTTGTCAGATGATATGTCATTAAATAGTTTTCTCCATTTTACAGTTGTTTATTAGTATCAACTACTCCACAGAAAGGTCTTCATGCTTGCTTTCATGTTTTTGTTATTGTTGTTGTTACTTTTCATGAGCTTATTTGTAGGAGAACGTTTCTGAATTCTTGTTCATGAAGAAGATGTTGTTTATTGCTTACAGCATCAATAATGGTGGCAAGTTGTCATCTTATATTAATTTATCTAGATCTATTACTAAGTACATTGTTGTCCTGAATGTTGTTTTAAAACCATTGGAACATAAAACACCATTTTATTTGTGCAAATCCAAAAAAAAAATTGTACAAGATCCAAGTTTTTCTTTGTGAGCCTATGTAAAGGTATTTTAGGTGTAACTGTGAAACTCATTCTTGTTGAGTCAGTCATCCAACATCTACTTCAATAAACCTTAATTTTAAAAATTATTTTATTATTTTTATGTATACAGGTTTTTGTTGCATATATGCCTGTGTGTCATGAGGATTAGTGCCTGCCAATGTCAGATGTGAGTTGTGGATCTCTTAAAACTGGAGTTACAGATGGTTGTGAACTGTTGTATGTGTGCTAGGAATTGTACCTGCGTCCTCCAGTAAGAGCATCCATAACTCTTAGCCACTGAGCACTGTCTCTAACTCTAACTTTATATATATATATATATATATATATATATATATATTCACAAAGCCATTTGAAATATCAAGCTATGTATTTATGTATTAAAATGATTTAATTAAAATATGCAAAGTTAAGGAAAAGAATGGATGCCACCAATATATCTGCATTAGGAAAACAGAATCTTATTTCTTCTAGAACCTGAAATGCACAAAGGGGTTAGAAACCAACAATAAAGAGCTTGTATTCTTCATGAGATATTTGAAGTAGAAACTATTAATTGCTAAATTTCTCTTTTTTTTTTTTGACCAAATACCTAACAGAACAACTTAATGAAGGGAACTCATTGTGTTAAGGATGTGTTTTTTCCTAATTTTTATTCTGTGTACAATCGTGTGGGTTTTGTGAATGTCTCACTATGCGTATTTGCCTGCAGGGTTTGGAAGGGAACATAGGACCCCACGGAACTGGAGGTACAGGTAGTTGAGAGCTGTCCAATGTGGGTGGTGGGAACTAACTATTAACTTCTCTTAATTGCAGAGCTTTCTCTACCTCAAGAATTTTTTATTGTATATCACATTTTTTAGATGTTCCAGCACATGGCTGTAGAATGTAACATGAACGAGTGGGCTGCTTTTCATCCCAGCCATTCCACTAGCTTACACCCTAAATAATCGAAATAATCACAGAGAAATTGTATTAATTTAAATTCTACCTGGCCCATTAGTTCTAGCCTCTTATTTTCTAATGCTCACATTTTGGTTTAACCCATTTCTAATAATCTATATGTCATCACAAGGTCTTGGCTTAATGGGAATGATTTAGCATGTTGGACTCTGGCGACTCCATGACAGCTCTCTCTGACTCTCTGACTCTTCTCCCCAGCATTCAGTTCTGGCTACTCTGCCTACCTAAGTGTTGCCCTATCAAAAGGCCAAGGCAGTTTCTTTATTTAACCAATGAAAGCAACACATAGATACATAGACATAGACACATAGACCTCCTACACCAGTAGATTGCTCTGGAAGCACAAGTATGCAGAGGCTGTTTATCGCATTGCAGACAGGAAGCCGAGAAAGATGAGGAGACCTGGAGTCTATTAGGACCTCCAAATCCCTGTCCTTCATGATAATTTCTAGTTAAACCAAACATGCCAAATACCTAGTATATATTAAGATAATGGTTTATACATTAAATGATAAATAGTATTCAAATGAGAAATTCACTAACACCTGTTCAAATTCTCATGGTAAATCTTAGAGCAGGTATAAAAGGAGGAGTTGTTACAGGAAAAACAAAAGCACAAATATACACAAAATTGGACAAGTTTAAGCTATTCCCAAAGAACCTAATAGGAGATATATGACTAGTTTTTCTATAATAAAATAAAACGAAAATGAATTTCTTCAGGTTAGTAACTTCAAATTATGTAGCCTTTCCTTTTATGTGCTTGTGTCTGTAGCTAATACTCAAATTACAAGCCAACTTGAGGTTGATGTGAAGTTATAGATGTTGATACTCTGCTGCATTTTATGGCATTATTTTGACTTTACAGTAGCTGTGCTGTTCTGACTGTCACATGTGTGCTCATGTGTGTGATGGTGGAACAGGAAGACTGTGGACCTCTTTTGATCTTTCTCAATATTATCTAAGACTGTGCCCCGTGAAGGCAAATCTTCACTCAGACAAAACCGTGCTGTTTTAAATATTTGTCACTTGTATTGGTCTAATAAATGCTGATTGGTCAGTAGTCAGGCAGGAAGTATAGGCAGGGTGACCAGAAGAGGAGAATTCTGGGAAGAGGAAAGACTCAGTCTTCAGTTGTCACTCAGACACAGAGGAGCAAGATGAGAATGTCTCACTGAAAAAGGTACCAAACAAACCACAGAAAAGAATTATGGGTTAATGTAAGATGTAAGTGTTAGTTATTAAGAAAGCCTGAATAATAGACCAACCAGTTTATAATGTAGGCCTCTGTGTGTATCTTCGGCACTGAACAGCTGTGGGGCTGGGAGCAACAGAAACTTCTGTGCACAAAACTATGCTCCAGATTCTGTGCCAGATGAATCCACTATAGACAACCTCTGCAGAAACCTCTCTAGATCTATACATCAAAGGCAAGGCATGCCATGAACAAAAAGGGCACACCAAAGTATTTTTTTAAAATCTTGAATTATATGAATAAATATAACCATTAAAACAGACACACAATATCAGCAAATGTATACATCAAATGGATACATTTCATTGTGTGTTACAGTAAAATTCTGTTCTGGTTTTGTAAGCATATAAAGGAAGCTTACATCAATGAAATCAAATTCACCCATCATCTGAACCCCAAAAGTTTTCATTGTGATTAACCATAATTTATTCAATAAGTGTTTATTATTGAATTCATATTATATTGTTTATTATATAGCATAAGGATTAAGATTTTAGGGAATTTATTAATATTTTTATTGTGAGCCCACTATCATCACAGGATTAGATTGCGTATCTTTGAAAGAAAGGATTTTCAGAAAGTTACTGCTAAAAGGCCTTGAGGTAAAAGAGAAAACAAACACTACATATATTAGTTTTAATATTTCTCATTGAATTATATATATGTGTTTATGCACAAACATGCACATATACTTATACACTGCAGACTTTTGTTTATCGTTATTTATTTTATTAAAAACTCTTTCATGCATGCATAACAGTATATTAAACTGTGGAGCTTCACAAACATATCCTAAGGATTTAATAAGTGTCAATATTCTGCCACATGCTTTCCATATTCTGTATAAATTTTTTAAATCAATGCGTTTCATGACATGATTTTTATCAGTCTTTTATTACAGAAGAAGTTTCATATATATGTATAGTCATAATCCATTTTCACACAAATCTTGGCATCCTATACAATTTAATTCATGTTCAAGTTCCTTCAAATGCTTCAAAAACATATTTTTGTAGGGCTTTATATTGGATAGGACTCATTGCATTTAGATATATCTTTATATTCTTTATAGAGTTGTAATAGTCTATGGGATGCTTATTTCCTGATGAACCATTGGCTACTAATAGATCCTAGAGGATTGATGGCCATGGTCTCCCTTTCTGTATTTAATACTGAGTCTACCAAGTTCAGACAGACAGATAGTTCCTAAAACCTTGTCACACAGATGAACTTCATTAAAATAAAATTGACAATGAGAGAGAGAGAGAAGGGGGTAAGAAAGGGCCTTGTAGGAAAGAGAGGTTGGTGACAGAAGTTGGAGGGAAATAAGACAAGGTAGGGACTACCTGACCCAAAATAATTGTTGCCAGCTCCATTCATTTCTCTGAAAACTTTTATTTCTCTTGACATCTGAATAATATGCTACTGGGTAAACACACCAAATGTTCGCTGTCTATGTTTCAGCAGATAGAGTTCTAGACTTCTTTCCCTATTTCCTGGCTATTGTGAATAGACTGGCAATGGGCATGGATAAGCTGGTGTATCTGTGGTTGGATATAGAATCTTTAGGGTATATCTGGTTCATATGGTAGATCTACTTCCAAATTTTTAGGAACCTCTAGACTATGCTAATTCCCATACTGGCGGCCTCAGTTTGCAACCCACAGACAGTGAATGTGTGCTTCTTTCCCCACCTGTGTGAGCACCTGTTGTTATCTTTCTGTTAATCTTAGTCATTCTTACTGAGATAGGATGTAATCTGAAATTGGTATTTGTATTTTTCTAAAGGCTAGGGTTGTTGAACATTTAAAACATTTATTTATTTTATGTATTTTTGCATGTGTGCGTGTGCATGGTGTGTGTATGTGTGTGTCTGAATGAATGTATGTGGACCACGTGCTTATAAGACAGCAAAAGTCATAGGTAGAAGATGGTGTAAGGGCTGCTGGAACTGTGATTTTAGGCAGTTGTAAGTCACCATGCCATTGTTCAGACCTTAGCCTGAGTCCATTCTAAGAGCTGCAAGAATTCTTAAGTACTGAGCCACTTTCTCAGCCATAGATGTTTAGCATTTTGAAAAATATTTTTGACCATTTATATTTCTTCTTTTGAGAACTTTCT